CTCACTCTCACACTCACACACACTCACACTCACACACACACACCCTCACACACACACTCACAATCACACACTCACATTCAAACACACTCAAACACACACAGACTCTCAAACACTCACACTCACACACACACACACACACGCTCCTTCAGGAACACGGTTCGCTGGTGAATCTCTCTCTTGGTTTCTGCAGATATCTGGCCATGTACGCTTACAAACCTCAGAAGGCGGATGAGCTGGAGCTGCGGAAGGGCGAGATGTACCGCGTGATGGAGAAGTGTCAGGACGGCTGGTTCAAAGGCACGTCGCTGCGCTCCGGAGCGTCTGGAGTTTTCCCAGGAAACTACGTCACACCCATCTCCAGGTGAGCGTTACTCAAACCATCCAGAGATACTGCAGCGCCTCTTTATTCTCATCAGTGAGGAGGTTTAACCTTCTCAGGTCTCGTCATTAAAGATGTTAAAAACGCACCTGCATCTGCACACAATTTTATAGTTCAAGTCCATATCACACAGTTCTGACTTTACACCTCAGAATGCGAGTTAATGAGATTATTTTCTTAGAATAGCAAGTTTGAGACTTTTATTCTTAGAATTGCGACTTTTTGAGACTTTTTTCTCAGAATTGCGACTTTTTGAGACTTTTTTCTCAGAATTGCGAGTTTTTAAGACTTTTTTTCTCAGAATTGCGAGTTTTTGATACTTTTTTCTCCGAATTGCGAGTTTTTGAGACTTTTCTTCTCAGAATTGCGACTTTGAGACTTTTATTCTTAGAATTGCGAGTTTTTTTTACTTTTTTCTCAGAATTGCGAGTTTTTAAGACTTTTTTCTCAGAATTGCGAGTTTTTAAGACTTTTTTCTCAGAATTGCGAGTTTTTAAGACTTTTTTCTCAGAATTGCGAGTTTTTGAGACCTTTCTTGTCAGAATTGCGACGTTGAGACTTTTTTCTCAGAATTGCGACTTTGAGACTTTTATTTTTAGAATTGCGAGTTTTTGAGACTTTTCTTGTCAGAATTGCGACGTTGAGACTTTTTTCTCAGAATTGCGACTTTGAGACTTTTATTTTTAGAATTGCGAGTTTTTGAGACTTTTCTTGTCAGAATTGCGACGTTGAGACTTTTTTCTCAGAATTGCGACTTTGAGACTTTTATTTTTAGAATTGCGAGTTTTTAAGACTTTTTTCTCAGAATTGCGAGTTTAAGACTTTTCTTGTCAGAATTGCGACTTCGGGACTTTTTTCTCAGAATTGCGAGTTTTTAAGACTTTTTTTCTCAGAATTGCGAGTTTTTAAGACTTTTTTCTCAGAATTGTATGTTTTTGAGACTTTATTTCTCAGAACTGCGACTTTGAGACATTTTTTTTCTCAGAAATGTCAGTTTATAAGATTTTTATGATATTTACCCTCGGTTTCACAGACGAGGCTTAAGCCTAGTCCCAGACTAAAATGTAATTCTGAGCTGTTTTAACTGAAAGAAACTTGCACTGATTGATCTTAAAATATGTCAGTGCCTTTGTTTTGTCTCAAGATGCACACCACTGATGTTTTTTCTAAGGCATGTTTATAAAAATTGTCCTAATTGAACTATTGCCTAATCCTGGCTTAACCTAAGCCCTGTCTGTGAAACCAGGCCTTATAATATTAAATAATCTTTTATTGAGGAGAGGCTGTAAATTATGTTTCTTTCAGCTGATCTTTGGGTTTGTTTTGACTCACAGTAAGAGCACAAGCAAATAAAACGACCCTAAATGAAAGCGCGACAGAAAGAATGCATTTCCTGCGAGTTCCAGATCCCTATCTCCAGCTCAAGTCATAAATCAGGTCAGCGGCGCAGGTGCATTTTAAATGTGCTGCTTTAATGTCGAGAGTTGAGAAGGTGAAATCATTCTGCCGCCGCATTGATTAGCATGCTGCTGCTGCTGTGTTTAACCGCAGACAAGAGTCTGGAGCGATGCATGCTCTGTCTGGGGTCAGTGAAGGACCGTTCATTCATGAAATACTGCAATATGATGCAGTGTTTGAGGTGCATTAATGTAGAACATGTGTGATGACTTCAAACGCACCTCTTTCAATCAGAGTTTAGTCTGAATGATCGGTTTTTAATGTTTAGTCAGCAGAAAGAGAGATTTTGGAATCATTCAGTATTAAACTACAAAAAGATCCCATTAAGAAGACAGAAGGAAAGTGTTTCTGCAGTATCGCACACACATCTGGTATGCGTGACGGTTTTGTCATTGAGCAGGTGATTTTTATTTGTTTTCACAGTTAACAGGCTGTTAAACAAGTCTAAGATTAAACACTGGATCTGCTGCAGTTTATGTGCTTTGTCACATCAGGTTTTGATAAGAGAGTTTTGCAAAAACGGTGAAGATCAAACTCTGACTCTGGAGATCTGGCTCATGATGGTCACTCATGAATGTTTCAAATAGGGATGTACAATTTTTTAAAAACATTAATTAATTTACTAATTAATTATTAATATAATAATAATAATTATTATTATTCATTTGATAGTGCTGGGTAGTAACACTCACACACACACACACACACACACACACACACACGCTCAAATTCAGCTTTGCATCACAGAAATCAATTACAGTTTACTATATTTTCACATAGAAAACAGCTATTTTAAATTGTAATAATTATTCACAATTTTCTTCTTTTTGCTGTATTTTTAATTTGTTTTGTCTAATTTTAAATAATTTTAAGCTATTTTCTGTCCTGAAAATCTGGAATCTGAGGGTGCAAAAAAAATAAAAAAATCTAAATATTGAGAAAATCATCTTTAAAGTTGTCCAAATGAAGTTGTTAGCAATGCATATTACTAATCAAAAATTAAGTTCTGATCTATTTACGGTAGGACATTTACAAAATATTTTCATGGAACATGATCTTTACTTAATATTAGGGATGTAACGATTCACTCAACTCACGATTCGATTCGATTCACAATTTTTTTTTTTTTTA